CCTTATAAAGGGTGGCATACAACCAGCAAAATGAAAAAAGGGTTTATTTGGGGGGAAATGTTTCCTCTCTGCCTGCCTGGGCTTTCTTACCCTCCCCAGGGCACCCTGCTACCCTTTTCCTCTAAATTTTAGTCCATAATTTTTATTGGAAACTCTCAAATTCTACTGGCTACTGGATGAGCACATTGTTCTCTAATCAGTAGCATTATTTCAAACCCTCACTATGCTAATGTTGGTGTTTCAAAAGCCCCAGAGAGACTGAAGTAACGACTTCTTGCCTCACCCCCTTCTCCAAGGAGATAATTTCTAGATTTTTATGGTGAATCCTTTATGCTGCAAACACAGAAATCAGAAGCCAAGCAACTGGTAGCTATGTATTTTAAATAGAGTTTTGCTACTTGTTGGTTGGTCTTCCCTAACAACGATTATAAGTTGTTTTTCCTGACTTCTAACCTCTTGGTTCTAGTTCTGTCCTGTGAGACAGTTCGAAAGAGCTCTAATCTCATTTTCATCATATGAACAAGCACTTGTTTTTAATAGCAACTCTTAGCAACCTTAATAAATGAATAGTATCCTTTCCTACTGTAATTTATAAACATAGCTGTCATTTGGTAGAAGGAGTGGAGGGGGCTTCCTTCCCAAATAAGTAAACAGAAGAATTTTTATTTTAATGTTAATGATGTATCATTGATAAGCCAACCTCACTTATGACTTTTTAAAAAATTTTTTTGTAGTTGTAGATGGACAGAATGCCTTTGTTTATTTTTTTTTTTAATGTGGTGCTAAGGATCGAACCCAGTGCCTCACACATGCTAGGCAAGCGCTCTGCCACTGAGCTATCGCCCTACCCCCTCACTTATGACTTTACCTTTAAGATTTATAATGAAAACTCATGTATATATTATAGAAATTAAACTTTATGTGAGAAGTTGAACAGTGAACATCCCTGGTATCCAAATGAGTGTATCCTATACCAGTGATCAGCAGGATGGAGGAAGGTCCTACCCTTAGTTTTAAAAATGTCCAAAATATTTTGTCACAATTAGATAATTTTAAACACTTAACAAGGAATTATTTGAAGTAAAGAATTGAGTAAAATGGATGATTATGACATCTAATAATTGTTGGGGTGCAGTAAAATTGGTGTGATTAAAAATTAAGGAGACAGTTTTCTTACATGGTTCAAAAACAGCTTCCAAGGGCAGTTTCCACAGAGGAGCTAGCTCCTAAGTGTCTTTTAAAATTTTTTAAATTTGTTTTAATTAGTTATACATGATAGTAGAATGCATTTATGCACTTTGATACATCATACATAGGTGAGATATAATTTCTCATTTTTCTGAGTGTACATGTTGTAGAATCACATTGGTCATGTAGTCACATATATACATAAAGTAATAATGTTTGTTTCTCTCTACTATTCTTCCTATCCCCACATCCTCTCCCCTCCCTCCCCTTCACTTCCCTCTACCTAATCTAAGGTGACTCTATTATTCTCTAGTGCTTTCCACTTATTGTGAGTTAGCATCCACATATTAGAGAAAACATTCAGCTTTTGGTTTTTTGGGATTGGCTTATTTTGCTTAGCATGATATTCTACAACTCCATCTATTTACTGGAAAATGCCATAGTTTCATTCTTCTGTGAAGCTGAGTAATATTCCATTGAATACATATACCACATTTCTTTATCCATTCATCTATTGAAGGGCACCTAGGTTGGTTCCATAGTTTAGCTATTGTTAGCCACATTGACGTGGCTATATCATTGTAGCATGCTGATGTTAAGTCCTTTGGATATAAACCAAGAAGTGGGATAGCTGGGTCAAATGGTGGTTCCATTCTATGTTTTCTGAGGAATCTCCATACTGCTTCCATAATGATTATACCAATTTGCAGTACCACCAGCAATGTATGAGTGTACCCTTTCTCCCACATCCTCACCAATATGTATTGTTGCCTGTATGGTGAAATTTGGGCCTATTTTTTCTTCTCTTAGGCACAGGGTCTTTGTTCTAGTGTCTAAACCTTTGATCCACTTTGAGTTGATTTTTGTGCAGGTGAGAGTTAGAAGTTTAATTTTATTTTGCTACATATCAATTTACAGTTTTGCCAGCACCATTTGTTCAATAGGCTATATTTTCTCCAGTGAATGTTTTTGGCACCTTTGTCTAGTATCAGATGACTGTATTTATGTGGGTTTGTCTCTATGTCTTCTATTCTGTACCATTGGTCTACATGTCTATTTTGGTGCTAATACCAGGCCGTTTTTGTTTTGTTTTGCTCTGTAGTGTAGTTCAAGGTCTGGTATAATGGTGCCTCCTACTTCACTTTTCTTGCTAAGGATTGCTTTGACTATTCTGGCTCTCTTGTTTTTCCAAATAAATTTCATGATTGCTTTTTCTGTTTCTATGAAGAATGTCATTGGATTTTAATAGGAATTGATTAAATCTATATAATGCTTTTGGTAGTATGGCCATTTAACTATATTAATTCTGCCTATCCAGGAGCATGGAAGATCTTTCCATCTTCTGAGGTTTCATTCAATTTCTTTCTTTAGTGTTGTGTAGTTTTCATTGTAGAGGTCTTTCACCTCTTTTGTTAGATTGGTTCCCAGGTATTTTATTTTATTTTTTGAGGCTATTGTGAATGGAGTAGTTTTCCAAATTTCTCTTTCAGTGGATCCATCACTGATGTATAGGAACGTGTTTGATTTATGGGTATCCAAAGTGTTCTTGTCAGCAGCAGTAAAGAAAGACAATACTCATGATGATTGGTAACCAAGATATTATTTTATAACCAAACTTCTCTTGCTGACATAAGAGTTTCTATTTATTTTTGGTCAGATTATTCCTAATTTGCCTCCATGCATGGAGAATTAGAATAAGGTGGAATTCAACTTGATGATTGCTTATTGAGCACCTGCTGTGTGCTGGGTACCGGGAGTAAGATGAGGAACATGGTGGATGTGGGCCCTACCTTGTGAATTTATGGTAAGGGAGTGGGGTTCATGGTATAGAAAAAAACAAAAAACAAAACCAAAAAGTAAATCTTTGTCAGATTGATTCAGAACCACTGCTGTTAACCTTTTGAGTTAAATTTTTACTTTTCCCTAAACACTGTCTGGACAACATTGTTGTCCTAGGAAATATTGGGGAATGCAGTAATGAAACTGTGTCAGGTCTTGTACCTGTACAATGTTCATGCTGCTCATGCCCTTTGTGCATGAATATGTTTATCCACATGGCCAGTCAAAAAAATGATCTGGTTGACCTGTGTTTGCAGAAGACCTTTGACCGAATCTTTGATGGACAAACAGAAAATCATGTTTCCAAGAAGGATCTATTCATAAACAAAATCCTATAGTGTCATGCCTTTTAAAATAAAAAAATGGGGAGTAAAGTTCCACATTTGCAAATACATCACTACGAAATGCAGTTTAAAAGATAAAGCAAAGGGGGTTGTGGCTCAGAGGTTGTGGCGCTTGCCTAGCATGCATGGGGCACTGGGTTCAATCCTCAGCACCACATTAAATAAAATAAAGATATTGTGTCCACCTATAATTAAAAAATAAATTAAAAAAAAGATAAAGCAAAGGGCAGCATAGGCCTCAAAGCATCAATACTACCAAACATTCATTAAGAAAAACAAAGCAAGGGTAAAATCAACTCACCAATATTCATGTATGTGGGTACTAAAAAGGCTATAGTGACTTTAAACATTTAGAAGAGACTTAACATGTTAGGAATTTAACATTGGTTTATTTCTCTCTGATTTAATATCATTAGTTCATTCACTCATTTAACTAATATTATTAAGCACTTATCATGTACAAGCATTTTGCTAAGTGTTAGGGCATAATGGAAAGCAAGATATAACTGGTATTTTATACTTTGGTTAGGGAGAGAGATAAATTAATCACATAGATAAATACATAACTACAAAGTTTGAGTATTTGCAGAAGGAAAATGGTCGAATTCTATGGAAGCATAGAATAGGAGACACCGTGCAGGTTGGAGGGTGGTCAGAGAAGGCTCTATGAAAAATGATATATTTAAGGAAAGACCTAAAGAAAAGTAGAAAAATAAAAGACTAGAAGACTAGAGGAAGGGGAAGAGTGAAGAGAAAGAGGAAATACTGGCAAATACATCAGAATAAATTATATTATATGCATATATGAATATGTCACAGTGAGCCATTATTGTGTATAACTATAATGTACCAATAAAACTATAACAGAAAAAGGGGGGAGGAGATTTACAGGCAGGAGGAACAGCATTTGGGACAGAGTATACTTTGATTTTAATAAATTTCATATTGTGAACAATTTCCAAAGTCCAAAAGAGAAACATAACATCCCGTGATATTAGAAAAATCTCATCAATTTACCTCAGTCTAGCCAGAAATGTGTCAAGAGGAAAACTTCAAAGTGGCAGATTTCATCTCTCTAGCCTGTAAACAAAAGGCCCAAGACACTTCCCTAAGACTTGAGATCAATTTGTAATTTCTCTTTTTGTCATCCCTGAAGAATTTCCAAATTTACTCTTACTCTAGTAAGAGTAAAATATTTTTCCACCTTTATAGATATGCTAATACTAAATATAGTTCAAATGATGAAACAAAGAGCAACTCATATCTTCAAAACCCCAGGTCTACCAAACACTAAGGGGAAAAAAAAAAAGCAAAGGATAAAATCCATTCACCAATGGTATGTTTGTGTGAGGTAGTAAAATGAAGCAACTCAGAACATATGCTGTAATTCAATAGCAGGCCTGTAGTTTGGGAGAAGGAGTGGAGTGGCTAAGGAAGTTAACATGCAATCTTTCCATTCCTAATTCTATTCCTCTGGGCCATCTAGCTGGGGCTATAAGTCAAAAGTATATAGGTATTTAAAAGAAAAAAGCATGATTTGATGCCAAAATTACCATGCTTTCAGGGCTGCTTTCCCCTGTGAAGTGTGCCCATTGACCTGAGATTACAAATAGTTCTTTTCCTTGTCAGACTTCTGCAGAGGGTATGGACTTGACCCCAATGGGGAGTGGAAAAAATGGTGAAGATCTTTCCCTGAACTCTCATCCTACTGCTGCAACTCAAATCAAGCGTTCCCCGCTGCCCAGAGAGCTCATTTTGTAGGTAAGAGAAAGCAGATGGTTTCTTAAATAGAATCTCCTCTTTAAAAGGGACTGCAGTTAGCATCTAATCCCAAACTCAAGCTATGCAGTGTAGTATTCTCCTAAACATATATGAACTCTGCCTAAGTACCCCTAGGGAGTAGTGCACTATCTCTTGAGAGTTACCATCTTTGAACATTCTTTCTTACATGGAGGCAAAGTTCATTGTTCTTTAACTTCTACAAAGAGCAGCAATAATAAAAACAAAAACAAAAAACAAATCTTTCCATGTTTGCTTTGATCACTTTCCATGTCCCAGGGCTATGCAAAGGCATTTCAAATGCATTGTTTCTAATGCTTCCAAACAGCAGCACCAGGAATGATTATCATGCACATACAGGTGAGAAAACAGGTACAAGGTCACATGGTTAGAAGAGGTGATCCAGTCTGGCCAAATTCAATGCCTAGGCACGATCCTCCCTCCCTCCCTCCCTCCTTTTCTTCCTTTCTTTCTTCCTTTCTCCCCCCAACCCCACCCTCTATCTCTCTGTTGCATGTCAGGATTGTATCCAGGGACACTTTACCACTGGAGCTATGTCCCCTGCTCCCTCCTGCCCACTCTATTTTTATAAAAATTTTGAGACAGGGTTAGGCACAATTCTTGACAACACACATAACTCTTTTTTCAAATTTGTATATTTGAAGGCACCTCTAAGAATCTGTTTTCAGCTTCCTCATTCATAACTTATATGCCATGGTTTCCAGTACTCTCAGAATAAATATGACTCTCTCCATAAAAGATATCTGTATCTGGGGCTGGAATTGTGGCTCAGTGATACAGCGCTTGCCTTGCACGTGTGAGGCACTGGGTTCGATCCTCAGCACTACGTAAAAATAAATAAGCAAAATAAAGGTATTGTGTCCACCTACAATTAAAAAAATATTAAAAATATATCTATATCTCTCTTTCTCTAACTACACACACACACACACACACACACACTGAAAACTGCACTTTGTTCTCCAAATTAAATATGCATTACGAACAGACTTCCTTGAGTCTTTTTTTTTAATAAACTTTTTTTTAAGAGAGAGAGAATTTTTTAATATTTATTTTTTAGTTTTCGGCAGACACAACATCTTTATTTGTGTGTGGTGCTGAGGATCGAACCCAGCACCACGAGCATGCCAGGCAAGCGCGCTACCGGTTGAGCCACATCCCCAGCCCCTCCCTTGAGTCTCTTATGAGTGACATTTATATTGGTTAAGACATAGATACACAATATGTTGGTTAAGACATAAATTTATGTAGGTTTAACTGTGGGTTTCAACATTGACTAGTTTTTAGACTCTTAGGTATTTTTACTTCTCAAATAATCAGCTTTCTCACCTATAAGGAGGAGGGAGCAGTAAGATGATGCAGCTTACTTTTAATAATTATTGTGAAAATTGACACTGTATGTATAGTACTTAGCATAATGTCCAGCAAGCACTATGTCAAAATAAATGGTGTTACTATTATTTCTTTATTTGCAGTAAATCAAAACCTATCTAATTGATGTCAAGTCAGATTTTCCTTTTACCATGTTTGTAAATTTGGATTTTAGATATGAGAAATTTAAAAATTCATGCTAAATTTCTTTTTAAAAAATGTTCTTATTAGTTGTTGATGGACCTTTATTTATTTATGTACATATGGTGCTGAGAATCAAACCCAGTGCCTCACACATGCTAACAAGCACTCTACCACTGAGCCACAACCCCAGCCCAACCCCTAAATTTCATCTTAGTTATTTTAGCCAATAGTTCCACCTGGAATCTTGCTTCTGTCATTCAATATATTAATAACCCTTTCTAGGTTATTAATTAATTAAGATGGTTTTGAGACACCTATAGATTTACAAAATTATTATGAGTACCTTCAAGTTGTTTCTAAATTAAACAGAGAAGTCAAAGTCTATTTTCGTTTGTGATACTGTTGTCCAAGTTGTAAATGTATAGCAGCTACTGGCAACTAGGTGTGGAATCTTCCCTGTGCTCTTCTGTTTCCTGCAATTGTATCCCCCAATGATTCCTTGAGTTTTAAGCTGCCTCTGACCTATGATACTGTAGATCTTCTGATGTTGACATAGCTGAGTCTATTAACTATCTTGTAGACTGAAAACCAGGACACCTGGGGCTAAACACTACTTTCCACCAATGTACTTAAGCTGTCTGGGGCTCCATTTTTATACTTGTAAAAGTGAGCAAATATTCGCCCTTTCTTTTCTTTTGATGATATGGCAAAGATGAATTTTAAAGTAATTATAAAGGGATATTACATTCTTAAAATTGATGGCATATCATGTATAAATTTCACTGTCTAAATGTTAGCAAGATAAGTCTCTGAGCAGCTGATGTAGATGACACAAAGCCTAGGCATTTAGCATATCCATTTTAGTCATAGATTCAACATATGGACATGTCCAATAAGCTTGTTTTTTTTCATTTCTTAGGTCATGGTGAGTAGAAGATGAAAATGGATAGAGACTGCCCAAGGTAGGTAAATTAAAAGTAGCAAATAATCAATTTAAAAGGAGAGAGGAAAGACATATAAAAATTAGAAACTAAAAATTCTGCAGAAATATGAGACCAATAAGTAAATGGGAAAAGACCCCAGCTTCGAAGGTTCTGAAGAATATCACTGAATTATGTAACTCAGTACTATGATTGATGTTCAAAGTGGTTACTAGTTCTTGCATTGGAATTCTGGTTTTGTATGTTCAGTGTTCGTTGTGTTCTCTTCTGGAAGCACTGCTCTGATTTTCATTTGGATAATAACCTTTCCAAGCTGTATTTAGTTCCAAAGGAAACAACACTATGGTATTTTTCCCTCCTCTGGCCAAGTTTGAGCCTGTGGTCTAAGCCAGGTCAGTCGCCGTCTTGCAGGAATTTGGATGTTGAGCAGAGCAACACAAAACTGTTGGGCTAATTCATCCTCATGATGGTATTCTGAATAGATACTCTATTCTTCCCTTCTGTACAGAACCTTGAGACTGTGGTCCCTGACTTTTCAAGACTCGTTGTCCATTTTTCCTTAATTTGGGGGAGTGTACTAAATCATTCTAATAAAATGCTATTTGTTTGCTTAACTTAGCCAAAGGTATTTTTTGGCTGCTCACAATTTATTAATTGACACAGATTTATTCAATTTTTATTCCATATTTAATGTTTAGAAAACTACAGATATTTGTGACAAAATTAAGAATATTTCCATAAAGCATTGTTAAAATTCCAAACTTTGGCATAAAGGGATATTTCTATACTAAAGAATTTATTGATTTCCTAGCAACAGCAAATCAATTGATTTTCTAGCAATAGCATAGTTGTAATAGCCTACAAATCCAACAATTGATTATGTATTATTTTTGTAGCTTAAATATATCTTGCTTAACATATTCTTTCTGATTAGGTTCTTATTAAAATGTTGGTAGATGACATAGAAACTGCCTGGGGATGTGTCTAAAATGAATATGCTTTTAGTTGTGAACAAAACACTGAACCTTTAACATATGTTGCCATCTGTTTGTACTGGTTGTGCTAAGTGCTGAGACAAAGCAGTGGACAGGGAGGACACAAACAGCTCCTGACCCTGCAGAGCTTGTGGTATAGTAGCCCCGTGACTGTGCACTGAACAAAAGGAAGAATTGCCTTTGCTCCTGATAAGCTGCTTTCCCACGTCTTTGGCCATGAATTTCTCCAGCCTCGAAAATCAAATGTCAGCGTATTAGCTACATCCCTTTTCTATTCTATATCCTGTTCCTTTTCCAAGGTCCAGATTGAACAGAGAGTTCTCCATTAAGCTTTTCATAGTAACCACAATAGTGATGACAGTGAAACATGTATTGAGCACCATGCTAACCTCTCGACAAGGATTACATCACTTATTTCTCACTGTGTGCTTCGAGCTATTTATGCACGACTCTTTGACTATTGAATTGGTGAAAACTTTGGGAAGATTTAAAA